TGGCGCTGCGGGAATGCCCTCGTGGCCGGGCTGGCGCTGCGGGAATGCCCTCATGGCTGGGTTGGCGCTGCGGGAATGCCCTCATGGCTGGGTTGGCGCTGCGGGAATGCCCTCGTGGCCGGGTTGGCGCTGCGGGAATGCCCTCGTGGCCGGGCTGGCGCTGCCGGCGCTGCCGGCGTGCCCCGTCGCAGCAGCGGTGCCGGTGCTGCTCTGCGCCGCCGGCGCTGCCCGCGCGGCAGGGCCTGCAGCACGGCGCTGCCCGCGCGGCGCTCACGCGGCCCCTCTGCCCCGCAGGCGCCCGGCGGCCGCGGCGAGGGCACCTTCCAGGTGACGATGCTGCCCGGGGACGGCGTGGGCCCGGAGCTCATGCACGCCGTCAAGGAGGTGTTCAAGGTGCAGAGCCCATGGGCCCCGGGCCCAGCTTCCCCCTTGCTTTGGAGCCCGGAGCCGACGCGCTTCCCGTGGGAATCATTTCCACACCAGAGGTCTTGTGCTGCCAGCGGCTCCTTCCCTGGGGCGCTGGTGCCACCACAGGGCCGTGTCCGTGTCCCTCGCTCCCGCTGTCCCTGCTCCGCGGCCCCAGGACGGTGGTGCCGGGCGAACGTCCTGCCTGGGCCGGCGATGGGGCCCGAGCGTCCACACGGGCACTGCCCAGACCTCGGTTCGCCCGGCGGGAGCGGAGGGCGGTTCTGGTGCCGGAGCACCCGGTCCCATTGGGTCGGGGTTTCGGGGGCGGCGCCGCTCGTGCCCCGTGCCGCCAGCGTGCCCGTGCTCTGCCCGCAGGCTGCCAGCGTGCCCGTGCTCTTCGACGAGCACCACCTGAGCGAGGTGCAGAACACGGCGTCCGAGGAGCGGCTCGACCGCGTCGTGGACTCCATGAAGGAGAGCAAGGTGGCCCTCATCGGTGAGCGGGAGCCGGCCGAGCCCCTCTGCCCACGGCCTGCGCGGCCGCGGCGTCGCGCTCACCGTGCCCTGCCCGCCCGTGTGCCCGCAGGCAAGATCCACACGCCCATGGAGTACAAGGGGGAGCTGGCGTCCTACGACATGCGGCTCAGGTGGGACTGGGGGGTCCGGCAGCCTGCGAGGCCGGGCGGGAGGGAAACCAGCCCCGGGAGGAAGCCAAACAGAAACCCGGTGTGCGTTGGGGACGCTGCGAGCTTCCCCTGGGATGCCGGGAGCCGGAGGGGTGGCTGGTGCATGGAGTGGGACCCATGGTGCATGGGAATGGGCAGCGTGACGGGCCGTGGGGGCCGCGCTTGGCTGTGCGGGCGGCTCGGAGCCCCGGGCAGGCGGTGGAGATGGGGCCGTGTTGCGGGGTGGGGAGGGCAGCCCCGGACCCGGGGCGCCTGCAGCGAGGAGCGCGGGGCAGGAGGGCCCTGCGTGCAGCGCTGACCCCGCCGCAGGCGCAAGCTGGACTTGTTCGCCAACGTGGTGCACGTGAAGAGCCTGCCGGGCTACAAGACGCGCCACAACAACCTGGACCTCGTCATCATCCGCGAGCAGACGGAGGGCGAGTACAGCTCCCTGGAGCACGAGGTGAGGCGCCCGCGCTGCGCCCGGGGCCGCGGGACACGGCGGGCGCTCCGGACGGGGCGTGCGGGGCCGGGGTGGCCCGCGGCGCCGCGGGCGCCCACGCTGCCCTCGCCCCCAGAGCGCCAAGGGCGTCATCGAGTGCCTCAAGATCATCACGCGGGCCAAGTCGCAGCGCATTGCCAAGTTCGCCTTCGACTACGCCACCAAGAAGGGGCGCTCCAAGGTCACGGCTGTGCACAAGGCCAACATCATGTGAGTGCCGCGCGCGCGGCTGGGGCTGCCCTCGCGGCGCTGCCACCACCGCCGTGTCGCCGTGTCCCCCGCTGCAGGAAGCTGGGCGACGGGCTCTTCCTGCAGTGCTGCGAGGAGGTGGCAGAGCTGTACCCCAAGATCAAGTTTGACACCATGATCATCGACAACTGCTGCATGCAGGTGAGCAGCTGCTTTCCAGGAGCTGTGCCTGCCCGTGGGCCCTTCGAGCGAGGGGGTGAAGGGGGGTCTGACGATGCAGAGCTGCCCGAGGGGCCTGTTGCTCGTCCCTGCGCGGAGGTCGGAGGCTCTGCTGCAGCCTCCAGCAGGGGCTGCTGTGCTGGAGGCTGCCAGGGCTGTGCAAACTCGTTAGCCACGAGGAGACCTGCCAGGGACGGCGCTTTTGGGCAGCTGTGCCCACCTTTCCCAGGGGCTCCCCGGAGGGCCATGGGGGTGTGTGGTGGCTCGGGGCGCCTGGTGGCACCAGTGCCACCCTGTGCGGGGCCTCAGCACCGTCCCTGCGCGCAGCTGGTGCAGAACCCCTACCAGTTCGATGTGCTGGTCATGCCCAACCTCTACGGCAACATCATCGACAACCTGGCGGCCGGGCTGGTGGGCGGCGCCGGCGTGGTGCCCGGCGAGAGCTACAGCGCCGAGTACGCCGTCTTCGAGATGGTAGGAGGGGACGGGGGGCAGCTGGGGGGCCCGGGGCAGCACGTGGGGCGCGGGGCGGCGCTCACGGAGCCCCCCTCGCCCCGCAGGGCGCCCGGCACCCCTTCGCGCAGGCCGTGGGCAGGAACATCGCCAACCCCACGGCCATGCTGCTCTCGGCCGCCAACATGTTGCGGCACCTCAAGTAGGTGCCGGCGCGTGCGGGCAGGGGCGGCGCGGGGCCGGGCGCCGCCGGGGGCTCAGCCGCTCCTCGCGCGCCTCCCACAGCCTGGAATTCCACTCCAACCTCATCGCGGAGGCGGTGAAGAAGGTGATCAAGGTGGGGAAGGTGAGTGCGGGGCGGCCGCAGGGAGCTCCGCCGCAGCCCGGGGCCGCTCGGCTCGGGGCCGCTGCCGTGTTGGGCCGGGCCGCTCGGCACCCACGGGTGCTTGGCTGGGCCGGGCGCCGCTCCCTCGCACTCGCATTGCTCCAGCCACGACGTCGCCTCCCGTCTCTCCCTTCCCTGTTTGGATTTGTAGGTCCGCACGCGGGACTTGGGCGGTTACTGCACCACGTCCGACTTCGTCAAGTCTGTGATTGACAACCTGCACCCCCACTACGGGGGCGGGGAGCCCCGCGCGCGCGGGGACCCCAGCCCGGCCGGCGCCCCCCAGCCCCTGGCGTAGCCGGGGTCCCGCGGAGCCGCCCGAGCCCCGGGCGGGAGCCCCCGGCCCCAGCCCTGGCTGGGAAGGAGCGGCCGCTCCGGGAGCTGCCGCGGTTCCCGTGGGAATTCCCGCCGGGGAGCAGCACAGGGCTCGTGGCCGGGGTGCCGCGACCCGCACAGCAGCTCGGGGAGGCCCCGGGTGCCGCGGGCAGCAGCGTCCCCAGCGCGGGGCCGGGCACCCTCCCTGCCTCGGGCACCCGGTGCCGCCGCGTGGGGCCTGGTCAGCGCTGTTATTTATGGAGGAGCTTTGTAGCCGTGTTTGCAATAAAGGGTCCAACAGAGCCCCAGTCCTGGGCCTCGTTCAGGGGCTCCCCGCGGCCGCTCTGCCCCACGGCGCTTGGGGAGCATCGGGGCGGCCTTGGGCTGGGAGCCAGGGCTGCAGGGGCAGCGGCTGCTGCTGGGGGTGCGGGGCTAGGGACAGCGCGCAGCACTGGGTGACGCTGCAGCAGCACCGTGCCGTGCTGCAGCTCGGGGTGACGCAGCAGCAGCAGCAGCTCATGCTGCAGCGGCCCTGGGTGACACTGCAGCCGTTCTGTGACCCTGCAGTGCTGGTGACACTACAGCAGCACCCGCTGATGCTGTGGCAGCACTGGGTGACACTGCAGCACTTCTGGGTGACACTGCAAAGGCATGGCTGATGCTGCAGTTGTGGGTGACACCACAGCAGCACCCGGTGACACTGCGGCGGCGCAGGGAGCCCCTGCAAGGAGGGCGCTGCCGGGTCAGGGCAGCCCCATGTCCCGGTGCTGCGGGCGCCGCTGTCCCTGCCCGGTCGGGGCAGCCCCGTGTCCCGGCGCTGCGGGCGCCGCTGTCCCTGCCGGGTCAGGGCAGCCCCGTGTCCCGGCGCTGCGGGCGCCGCTGTCCCTGCCCGGTCGGGGCAGCCCGGGTGCCAGCTCCGCGGGTGCCGCTGACGCCGCTCTCGTTGCAGGTGCGCACGCCCGACATGGGCGGCTACGCCACCTCGCTGGACTTCACGCAGGCCGTGATCGCGGCGCTGGACGCCTGAGCCCCCCCCTGCAGCACCAATAAAGCGGCTGCTGCAGCACCGGGGGCTCCGTCTGCACTGCTTCGGCTGGGGGGCAGGCGCAGGGGCCTGGGGGCCCTGGGGGGCTGTGACCACCCCCCCATCCCCGCCTCAGGCCCTTGGGGACAGAGGGGACACGGGGCAGGGCTGGGGCAGCCCCCAGCAACCCCTGCCCCCCACAGCAGCACGCGGACAGGAGCAGCGAGAGGAGCCGCCACCTTTATTGAGCTCCGGCCGCCCCCCGCCCGGGCCGCTGCCCCACGCAGGGCTGCAGGACAGAACCCCCCTCCCCAACACCCCCCTTGGCAGGCAGCACCGGAGGCGGCTGCAGCTGCAGCCCTGGGCTGCACGAAGCGCTGGTGCTGCAGACAGGGCTGCACAAAGCAGCAGGGCCGCGGGCCGGGCCGGTGCTTCCACCCGCCGGGCACAGCGCCCACAACGCAGTACGGGGCGTCTCCCCCCACGGGCCCTGGGCGGCACCGGGGCAGGCGCCACGGGCAGCAGCCGGGCTCAGTCCTCTGCCTCCTTTGCCACCTTCTTCTTCTTCTTCTTCTTCTTGTCCAGCTGCACAGTCTCTGTCCCCACTTTCCTCTTCTTCTTGGGCTGGGGCTCCTCCTCTTCCTCCTCCTCCTCCAGCCCGTTCTCCTCGGGCTCTGACGCTGCCTCCGGCTCTGGCTCTGGCTCCTGCTTCTTTTTCTTCTTCTTCTTGGGCTCTGTCTCATTTTCCTGCAGGGAGAGGGGAGGCGGTGGGAGGCAGAGCCGGCGCTGGGGGCACCGCCTGGTTGTGGTGCATGGGGTGCAGCAGAGGTGGCCGCCTCGGGCTGGAGCTGGTGGGCCTGGGGAGGGTCCCAGGCGGTGCCAGCGCTGCCCTGGCCCCAGCAGCGAGAGCCCTGGCACCGTGGCCACCACGGGGACGGCCCCTGCCCTCACCTGCGTCTCCATCTCCGCGTCCTCCATGGCCTCGGCGCCCGCGGCCAGCGCCTCCAGCCGCCGCTTCTCCCGCTTCTTCCTCTTCTTCTCCTTCTTCTCCTGCTTCCTCCTGACCTCAGCCACCACCTCGCGGGCCTGGCGGGAGGGCAGAGCCGGCGTGAGCGCCGCGGCGCCCGCGCTGCTCCCCCCGCGCGCCCCTCGGATCAGCCTCATTAAATCAGCTTTTTGCCTCCAGCGAGCGGTCAGGCCGACAGTTTCGCATCACGTCCGAGGGGCGCGCGCGCCGGCGGGCCCCGGCCTCACCTCCACCACGGCCTCCTTCATGACGTCCAGGTTCTTGCGCGGCGGCTCGCCCGTCTCGTAGAAGGCCAGGCGCTCCTCCACCTGCTCGCGCAGCTTGTCGCCGAAGACGCTGGTGGGCACCTCTGTGGGAGGCGGGCGGTGAGCGGCGCCGCGGCGGGCGCGCTCCGCTCAGAGCACAGCTGTCACCATTCACACTGTGAGATGCTGCTGACGAAAAACGTTGCCATCACGGCGGAGCGCACCCCGCGCCCACCTGAGAAGCAGTCGATGCGCGAGGCGATGGTGCACTTGTTGGCCAGGTAGCGCGAGATGCGGCCCTTGTTCTTGGCGGCCGCGCGCCCGATGAACGTCGAGTGGAAGATGAGGCCGTACTTGGGCGTGTTGCCGCGCGTCTTCAGCGCCCTGCGAGGGACCGCGGGGCGCTCGGCACCGGGCCTGCGGGAGCGGCGATGGCCGGGACCCCCCGTCCCGGCGCGCGGCCCCGGGAGCCGCCACCGCCGCGGCCGTACCTGAAAAGGGCCTTCTCCGCCCCCAGGATCTGCACGGTGGACGCCGGGTACTTGGCCAGGTTGGTGAGGCTGCCGGCGTGCGAGATGAGGCGGGCGCCCACCTGTGGGTAGGGAGCGGGGTCGGTGGCGCTGCCGGGTGCAGGATGGGATCCACAGTACCCACGAGGGGCAGGACCGGTGGCGCCGGGCCGTGGATCAGCGCTGAGGTGTCAGCACAGAGCTCAGGGGATTGACAGATCACTGCGACATCACGTCCGCGGCCAGGCCACCACTCTCAGAATCACAGACTGCTTAAGGGTGGAAGGGACCTTGAGAGCCCGTCCAGTGCAAGCCCTGCACACGCAGGGTCACCCAGAGCAGGGGGCACAGGCGGCATCCAGGTGGGTTTTAAACACCTCCAGAGAAGGAGACTCCACAGCCTCTCTGGGCAGCCTGTCACCCCCACTGTTAAGAAACGTTTTCCTAAGTTGCCGTGGAACGTCCCATGCGTCACTCACCACCTCGCCGATGAGCGCCGAGAGGCTGGGTGCCACCTGGCTCATCTTGGAGCGCAGATACTCCTGCAGCCCCTTGCGGTACTCGGAGAGCGAGATGACGCGGCTGGAGAAGCTCTCGATGTTGATGAGGTCGATGGGCGAGATGTCCATGCCTGTTGGGGAGCCGCGCTGGCACCGGCCCCGCGCGACGGCCCCGCGCGGCGCCCGGCCCCCCACTCACCCATGGAGGAGCGCGAGGCCTCGAGCACGGCCTGCGCCTTGGCGCTGTCCATGAGCAGCTCCTCGAGCGCGGCGAGCCGCTCCTCGCCCAGCTCCCTGCGGTTGCCGATGAGCTTGGCCAGGCGGCAGTAGGTGTAGTTGTCGCCCACGATCTTGATGAGCTCGGGGAAGTGGTAGCCGTACCACTCGCTGCGGGAGGCGGGCGGTGAGCGCCGCCCGCGCTGTCGCCCCGGGCACAATCCGGCGCGGGCACCGCGGCCCGGCCGGGGTGTAGCGCGGCCCTGCTCTGCCTCCCGTCCTGTGCAGGCGGCCGTGGAGGCGCCGCCGCCTGCGGTAAGCGCGGGGAGGCCCCCCGCACCCCGCGCCCCGCGCCCCGCTCACCGCACGCGCATGGAGAAGGTGTTGATGTCCTTGTCGAGCTGGTCCAGCAGGCTGATGGACTGGATGATCATGTTGTCCACGCGGTTCACGTTGAACTTCACCTTGGCGCGCGAGTAGCTGTGGCCCAGGCCCAGCTGCGCCTTGGAGGCCGACTGCGCCGTGAGCCCCTTGACGAGCGCGTGGAAGTGCAGGCGGATGCCTGGCGGGGCCGGGCGGTGAGCGGGGCCGCGGCGGGCGCCCGCGC